AACCTTCCCCTGCTCTGACAGAACAGGGACAGCACCACGGCAGCCAAGCAGAACTGCCATGCACATTGTTTCGCCTCTCCTCAGGGTTTTTTCCTCCTCCTCAAAACAAACAAACTGAAAAGCAATAAACACAAGCAAAATGGGGACTCATTGGAGAATAATTAGGGGGAAACCCATGCGTTCCTGTGAAAAGGAGAGAGCTTTGAAAGAGAGGAAATGAGATTAGCGTCTCTATGGAGGCAGCAAAACGGGATGGCCTGAAAGCAGCTCCCAAACTGTAAGAATTAACTTGGATCAAAGCAAAATACAGGGGTGTCCTTGCCCCTGGCTCTGCTCCTAAGCACTGCTGGTTGAAAGCCTGGAGTGACCTCAGTGAAGCAAATGTTACATGCGGCTCGTTAAAGGGCAGAAAGTGGGCCAGGATTCCCGAGAGCTTCAGAAGTCAGCTCCCACCACGACAGCCATGTAACCCTGCACTGGTGCCCCAGGCACAGCAGCGCTAGGGCAGCCAGGAAAGAGGTTCACAGCAAGTGCCGCCGCTTCGTGCAATTTGGCCACCAAACGAAGATTTAGTGCAGTGACACTGACCTAATAGGCATCGAACATCCTTCTGTCAAATGTACTTGTTTGTCTGACTTACCTCTTATTTAAACCTCACAGTTGAAAACGCCAATATGAAAGGACATCTTTGTTAATGAGCTAACCATGTGAAATACTTTCTGAAGAACACTGAAGACCACCCTTAAGTCTTTTCACTAAATCAAATAAGAGCAAACTTTAATTTCTGTATTTTAGGATTAGGTAAAATTTCTTGCCTCTCTATTTTCCTTTATTCTGAAAGAGTGCCTGAATTTCATGCTGCCCTATACAGAGATGCAGTAAAATGAAGACATGCAGTTTGACAGTATTTCTTTGCTATTGCACTTAACACAATAGTTATATGAGGTTATATCTCATCCAAACTTCCTGCACCAGGCTTGATCTCACCTGTGACCTGCTTGATAACCTACAAGTCCACAGCAGCCCAAAGACAGACCAGCTCAGCCCTCACTGATGGTTGTGTTCATGCTAAGGCACGTGCCACCTTTCCCTAAATGATCAATCTTGTATGTGTCCCCAGATGCTCCTGCTTTATGAAGGCACCCTGATCTTTACCTACTGCCCCATCACCCTCTTGCTGTGACCGATGGACAGGTGAGAGAGCGGTGGGGGCTCATCGGGACACCCCCCCCACAAACTCTACCCAGGCCAGAGAAATCCTCTGCCTGGTCAGCAGGTGGCGGCAATAAATTGCTGCCAAACCAACCTAGGCCAGTGCCTGGAGAGGAACTTCAACCACCCATTCCTCTGGGCCTCCAAGGGCACCAAACTCAGCTTCCATAAGAGGGTAGGAGAAAGGCAGATCCTCCCCCCATGCCGCCACCTTCCAACATTTGGCAACCACCACATAGAAAGAAAAGGGAGATAAGAGCAAGCTACTCAACTTCTAGTCCACAGTCCATAAGCAAGTCTATCAAAGGAATGAGGAAGCTCTATTACCCAACTGATAGCTCTTCCCTGGTGACATGCAAATACATTTTTGCTGGTGCACTGGTAAAGACCTTAATCCTGCAAACTCACCTTCAGGGCACCCTCCCATGAGAGTAAACCTCCCATGAGGAATCACTATAAATGAGAAAAAAAAAAAAAAAGACAAATAAGAGCATCAATCTGTTTTGAGAGATGGAAAAGGTGTGTATGCAGAGGTGAGGAACAATAAGGCAGCAAACTTCTGTTGGAGAAAAAAACATCTCAACGTGTTCAAACCCTGACCTTCCCAACAGATCCATGAGAAGGCAGTACATAGGCAGACTGAAGAGATTTTGAAACCAAGAGCAAGGAAGAGCTGAAGCATGTCTCAGTTGAACTGCAAGGGCAGAGACAGGTTAAAGGTCTGTAGCCCTTCATTAATACTGCCTGATTCTTCTGTTTCTGAAACACCTGACGACCAGCAGGCATTCCTCCATCCCTGCATCAGGGCACAACTGCACCAGCACTCGCTGCTAGCAAGAAAATTTGCTTTCTGTTGGACTTGCTCTCTCATGTCAGCTGGCATTTATGCCCCAGAGTGCTAGAAACTTTCCCATTTCCTCACCTATTTCATTCCTGTAAATGACAGCAGTTTGTCCACTTACTGTAATGGGATGAAAGGTCCACCACACGGCACTGTGTAATTACCACCAGAAAAGCACTTTTCTTTTCCCTGTGAAGAGGGAGAATGTAGATAATGTTTTAAAGACAACGGCCTATGGTGGTGGGGGACCCCAAATGAAAACAGCATAAATGAGCCCTATTCATCTCATCACATCACATGTTTCTGAATGCAGACTCTGGAAGCAGGTGATGACAGACCACTAGTAAAGTTCTTACGATGGAAGTCTACTCCATTCCAAAAACCAGGGGACTTTAACCTTACCTATAAACATCCACATAACACTTCACTTAATGTGTTGATGCCAGTCTCCTGCCTGGACTGGAATACACCTTAAGAATGAATTATAACCCCTTTCTCCTAAAAAACCCTCACTGCCTACTGACTGTCACTCTGAAAGGCTCTGAGCAGCTCCCATGTTTGACACCACAAAGAGGATGAGCTGAGTCTCCCCTCCTGCACCAGGGCTCAGGGAAGGAAGGCAGCAAGTTGGGGGTGCCCGGGCCAGAGACCAAGCTTTGCCATCAACTTCACAGCAAAGGCTCGAGCTAACAAGTACCGGCTGCATTGTGGCATTCAAACCACAGGCTGCCTTGAGGAGGAGGAAGTTTGCATCAGTAGGAGTCCCCAGAGGCGCCCTGCATGACTCATTCTGAATTCCTCTGAGGGTGCTGGGCAAGTGTGTGATGAAAGCTGGGCTTTAGGGGGAGGAAGAGGGTGTAAGTCTAGTTAATGTGGTGTAGTAGAGAAATGGGGCAGGTTAGAGGGAATTTAACACTACTGGAGCACTGATGATTTATGGGGACACAAGAGGAACATTGGCTGTAGCTCCTGAGCAAGGGCACAGGTGAGGTACCACCATAAATCCTCTGCCCTTTTGCCTGAGAGAGACACGGGTGGCCACAGTCCAGACTTCTGTATGCCCAGCCATGCACTCAAATATCACCCCAGGTCTAATCCTCTGGATTATTAATGGATTAAGAAAAGACTTTATAAACCCACATGAACTGTGGACAAGATGCCTGCTCTGAGGACAGGCATGTGTGGAAGGATGAGAAAAGGGCACTCAGATGCCATGGGGAAGAGTGATTTCAACAGATGTCTGGAAGGCACCAGGAGGATAGGAGGGATGGATGAGGCTATAAAGATACCAGGTAGACGGAGGGGGAGTAATGAACAAAAAGTTGGAAAGGGCTACCTTTATCACTGGGTATAGTCCTAGCAAAACAGATGACTGTCACAAATGTTTCATCCAAATGAGTCCACAGAACTTCTATCACACTCATCCAAAAGCACATTGAATTGACAGCCCAGAAGCATGAAAACAAGTAGAAAAAGGAGAAAGAAAAAAAGAAGACAAAGAGCGAATTCGTAGGAGTGCAGGCATCCCCTTCCTCCAGCAGCTCCTGGACAGCTCATTTCATAACCATATTGCATTTGCAAGCAACTATCACAGCCAAACACGCTCTCTGACATCCTCTAAGGGCTGTTTTCAGAGGAAGACAGGCTTTCCTCTTCTCGCCATGCACTAGATGAAACTGTCTGACACACTTCACAAGTGCAAATTAGAACCACGCTACTTACCATCAACCCTTCTTGCAAATTCATATTTGCAAAGAGAGAGTAAACTAGAAACCCCAGCTGCTTATAACACAGAGTTCTTAAGAGAAACTAGAGTAGGAAGGAGTTAAATTCGGAACCTCATCTACCACAAGCATTGTAATACAAAATCTTTTTTTTTTTAATGGGGAAAGCACAAGAGCCTTGTTTAAACACAGATGGAAGTACCTAAATGTACTACCTCTTCTACAAATGAATTATCCAGCAGTTCAAATAAAGGTGAACTAATACTGACAAAATCAAGTAAAACTCAATCAATGTGGGAGGAAAAAAACCCCAAATACTTCTCCTAAAATAAATTACCATGTGTAACCATAAGAGGAATCATTTTGGTTGGTAACTCCTGCCCTGTCTTCTTAAATGCAGTGAAGTTTACAAACATTTGCAGGAGTTTCTTGTACTAACCATCACACCAGAAGTCTACGGTGTTGTGATAAACCCGTGCTGTCCTAGGGGTCTGACTGTCAAAGCTGGGTACGTGGATTCAAAGCTACCCTGATAGGGAAACCCGAAATCCCTAGTATCTGTGTGATTCATCATTCTGTAGAAATTTTTTACATGGATATTAAATTAAATTCCATGTATACCTACAACTCAAAAGTCATTGCATAGTTACTAGGGATGAAACCAGTTCTTCAGAAATCAGCCTACAATTCTATACCAATTGTCAGGGTTAAGTCTTAAAAAGAGTACAGAATAACTATAGTCTACAGCAGGAGCATGATTCTATACGATCACCTGGAACCCTTATGAAAAGGCCTTCATTCTCCTTTTATTTTGTGCATTTGTAGAGTATTTTCTATAGAATCCCTTCAGTTATTCAGTTTTGCAGACTGGATCAAAAATGCCAACACAAAGTTTATCACATTCTATTTAACTCTCCAGGCATTTTTCATAAAGGTACAGTTGAATAGCTTTAGCCCTTTAGCTGTCAAATTATCACATATAAAGATACATTACTCCAGCTCAGTGGTTTTCAACCTTTATGCTTGGCAACCCCCAAATGTTTTTCAGA